CTCTCTCTTCTGTGTCTTCTTTCTCTTCTCTCTCTTCTGTGTCTTCTGTCTCTTCTCTCTCGTCTCTCTCTTCTCTCTGTCTCTCTCTCTCTCTCCTCTCTTCTCTCTTCTCTCTCCCTCTTCTATCTCTCTCTCTCTCTCTCCCTCCCCCTCTCTATCTCTCTATCTCTCTTTCAATGGTCCTGTGTTTTCTAAAGAGTTGACAAACATCCGTTTCTAGCGTATGACAGGGTCCTTCATGTTCCAAGTCATCTTTTGTCCATGTCAGCTGAGATGTGCTCAACCAAAGTTGCTTTTTCACCACCTTCGCGAGGCAAGAGCTTCAAAGTTGCACGCAAGGGGCGGTGTGCCCCGCTGGCAAAACGCTAAACTCGGTGACCACGGGATCTGAGCTGGGGGCATTTTTTGGTGGCCATTCTGTGCTGTGCTGCCAAGCCGGGGAAGCTCCACACACATAGAAATGCACCTGGCAGAATTGTCCTTTCTAGTGAATTCCTTAGAAGAGCCTACGAGAACTTATACGACAAACACAGGTTGTGGGCCTCTGGCTTTGGTGATGCCAGCCACGCAGGGACACTAGATTGTGCAAACCCCTGTCTTGGCATGTGGTAAAGAAGAAACTCTTGGACAGCCTTGGCCTGCCAAGGAGCAACTTGGAACAATTTCCACTGCGGTCGGCTTCACCAGAAACTGAGGCTGGCCGAGCCTGCCTTCGGAAACTTTAAAAGTTTTGTCTCCCTACCTTGGCACTGCGGGAGGCAGCAACAAAGAACAACACAGGGCCACCTTCAAACTCATACAATAATTCAAAGCTTGTTTTGGAATTGCTTCAAGTGGAAGGGGTCCAACAATGTGCGTGTATGCGGAATGCATGTTCTGCACTTGAACGCTTGCATTATTCTGTATGATAGTGATTGCCGTTTCACCGCGTTGTCATGCCACCTTTTGCCCCTAGATGCTGATTTGTGATTGATCTCGCCTCTCATTTGTGTTCCATCTCCGCAATTGCAGGCTTGTTCTGTAATACCCTAGCTGCATGGATGAAGTGCCGGCCAGGCTTTTGCTTCATCTTCCAGTTGGTTTCGGCAAGAGTCTTGTGTTGCGGCGAAGGGCAGGATCAAAAACACATCTAGATTCTAGATATGCCGACACTAAGCATTTCATGCCCTGGAGGCCAACATTGACATAACCTCAACCATTACGTATCTACATCGGCTGTGTGTGGGACGCCTACTGCTTGACGAGTTTTGAACTTCTGCAGGCTGTGCAACATGGGTAGGTGGATGTATTGCGTGGTTATACGATCTGCCATGACGGTTCCACACATTGTGCGCGGTTCGTGTGGGTGCTCAATCAGGACTCAATACTGCAGTACTACAATATACACATTGTTAAATAAACAATCATGGCAAGATGGAAGACATACAAGGAGAATCCCGCATTCAGTCAGAAACCCCCAGGCAAACTCGAAATAAGAGAAGCGAACAAGAGAACGAGGGTGAGAAAGGATGGAGGAAAACAAACCGAAAGGAACACCAGGCACAAAGAATGGAAAAAAAAGGTGGCACCGATGCAAAGCTTAAACCCCAAACTCCCCAGCAAGCGCTCCATGTGACTGATCAGCAGCGTGCTAGAAACCCAGAGCCGACCAGCACAGTGAAAGTGATGCTTTATCCCTTTGAATACTTTCTATCCCTAAATGCCAAGTTGCAATACCTAACGTGCTGCACACCTCCGTGGTTCCACGGTCCGAGCAAAAGTCGCCAATGCTGCCCCGCAAGGGCCGAGAATGCTGCGCAAGCTGTGCCACTGGTGACGCATGCCCAACCTGCCATGCCAAAATTTAAACCTGATCGTCACTGGAAAATTGTGACTATAGAATTCTCGATCAATATATAGCGCCGGATTGCGAAAGGGCGCTTCCAGAAGGGTTTGCGTTACAGAGCAGCGTCATTGCATTTGCATTGCAGAACTGTGTTACTACAAGTGACATATATATATATATACACCTTAAGTATCTGCACTTGTAGGTTGGCACAAGTACATCTGCAGCTTGCAGGTGTGGTGTTCTACGGAGGTGGTGGTACGACACTGGCTAGTACTGCAGAAGAATTGCTTTGGTGGTGGGATCTTGCTTCAGCAAGCGTTCCTGCTAAATGGTTCACGTGGTTTTTGCTGGGATATTGCTTCAGTACACACAATAGTTCATGCAACGTTCGCTGGGGTCTCGGCCCAGCAAACACATGTGCAAAATGTGTAAAAATGGTAACATACAGGGATAGAGATTTTTCCTGATTTTTTTTTGGTGTTTTTTCTGGGAATGCTTTACAAGCATCGGGAGCAGCAGAAAGGTCAGGGGACGAAGCAGTAGAGACAGCGGGAGGGAGAGAGCGAGACAGAGAAAAGGCATCCCACTTAACGAAGGAGAAGTAGGAGTGAGGAAAGAGGAAAGAGGAAACAGGAACTATAATGGGGACTTGTTTGGGTGATAAAGGCACTGGTGATAGTAGGGGTGGTGGGATCTATTAAGAAAGTGGGAGGGTGTGTTGGGGAGGGCGCAGCCACGGCTAAACCAAGGTGGGCCTTGTCATCCACCTTTGTGGCACTGCCAATGCAAAGAAGATAGTCGTTGTGGTAACCGTGGTAAGACTCGTAGCGGGGTGGTCCGAGTGACTGGAAATAGTAGGGTCGTAGTGGATGGTAGTGGGAACTAGTTTTAAAAAAGGGGGGGTTGCGGGGGAGGGCGCAGCGCCCCCCCAACAATGCAAATCAAGTATAAATAGCGCTGGGCTGCTTCGTTTCTTGATTGGTGTAATTGGGTGTCAAAGCTCAAGGTGAAGGTCTTATCGCCCAACTTTGTGGTAAGGTGTCAACGCAAAGAAGATAGTAGTTGTGGTACCTGTGGTAAGACTCGTAGTGGGGTGGTCGGGGTGATAGAGGCACTGGTGATAGTAGGGGTAGTGGGAACTATTCAAGAAGTGGGAGTGTGTGCGGGGGAGGGCGCAGCCACGGCCAAGCAAAGGCGGGCCAAAACCAAAAAGCAAAAGCAAAAAGCAAAAGCAAAAAGCAAAAGCAGAAGCAAAAGCAAAATGCAAAAACACAAGCAAAAAACAAAGGCAAAAAGCAAAAGCAGAAGCAAACAGCAAGAGCAGAAGCAAACAGCAAAAGCAGAAGCAAAAGCAAAAAGCAAAAAGCAGAAGCAAACAGCAAAAGCAAAAGCAGAAGCAGAAGCAAAAGCAAAAAGCAGAAGCAAAAAGCAAAAACAAAAAGCAAAAGCAAAAAGCAAAAGCAAAAAGCGAAAGCAGAAGCAAAAGCAGAAGCAAACAGCAAAAGCAGAAGCAAACAGCAAAAGCAAAAGCAGAAACCAAAAGAACGCGAAAACAATTCCCGGGAAAAAACAGAAAATATTCCAAGAGAAATGCCAAGAGAAATACCGGCTCGCGCGTGCGTGACACATCTTGAACATTCAGATAACTCTATATATAATTCTTTCTTAGCCGGCCGGCTGGCCGGACAGGGCGCACGAAACGTGACCCTCTGCGGAGATCGTGTCGGATGAACCATTTGCGGAGATTGCGCGTGTCGGATGTTCAGACGACGCGTGGTGCGAATTTAAGTTGGGCGCGGGGACCCCTGTGCAGAGATTGTGCGTGTTGCTCAAAGGTGAGGTGAAATGCGATTTTTGCTCCCAAAGTGTGCAATTGTCCTCCAAAATTGCGGTGGGAGTGTGGAACTAGTTGTCGAACGCCAAGGTGGATGTTGCCAAAGTTTGCAACTGGAAGCTGTGGGCCCAAATTGACGACTTTGTAGTGCAAATGCAGTGCAGGAATCAGCTTCTTTGCAGCTGGCCTCAGAACTGACCGCTTCGCAGCACAAATGCGATTAGTCCGAGAGAGCTGGCACCTATTTGTATTATGCAGTATGGGAAGCAGCTTCCGGGAGATGAACTCTCAGAACGGCAGTGCGTGAACTGGCGGCTTCGTAGCCACATGTAGTGCGGGGAACCGCTTCTGGGCATGATTGGCAATCCCTCTGGAACAAACGCTTCTTCGCACGGCACAGTTGTTGGGATTTAGTAACCAGGATTCAGTTCTGTCAAAGATTGATGATCCAAAACCAAATATACATCTTTACATGTTGAACCAGTATCCAACCTATACCCGGCAAATATGGCTGGTTTGGCATTTGCATCAAACTTTTGTCGACTGAAGTCAGGCACATAGATTAGTTGACCAAGCATGAGATCTCTGGTGTTCCACTCTTCACCCATGGCGAGCTTATACCTCGAATCCCCAATGCCTGGCTTTGCATGGTAGCATGTGATCATCCACACTTACAGTAGTAGTACAAATGTAGTGCGCAAAGCACTTGCTAGGAGCTGTGACCCCAGAACTGGCAACTTTGTAGCGCCATTGTAGTGCGGGAAACAGTTTCTGGGAGGTGTGGCCGCAGAACTGGCAACTTGGTAGTGCAAAGGGAATGCGGGAAGCGGCTTCTGAGAGCTGTGGCCCCCAAACTTTGTAATGCAAAAATAGCGCCACGCAGCCAGCAGCTTCTGGAAGAAGTGGCCTCAGAGCGGTAGTGCGCGAACTGGCAGCTAGTGCGGGGAACAGCTTCTGGGAGCGGAAAGCAGCTTCTCTGGGATCTGTGGCCTCAGAACTGGAAACTTTGTAGTCCAAATGTGCTGTGGGAAGCGCTTTCTGGGAGCTTGGTGCTACAATGTTGCGCGTGGCACACCGTGTGGCGAAGTTACCTTTGCGATGTCGCTGCACCATGCGGCTTTGCGTGGAAAGTGTGTTTGCGTGAGTCCAGCAAAGGGAAGAAACACGATGGTGTAAATGCGGGCGCTGCTGGGGAGCGGGATGATTGGCGGTGTCAACTAGGCTTGGCCCACAGGTGTTGTGACACGAAATGGAAACATATTGAACAACAGAACTTGTTTGCATGTGTTCCAACGCTCCCGGGCCCCTTTTTCAACTATTATTTGAGGTCTTAACTTAAGACTTAAGATATATCCTGAAGTTTCAGAACATACCTAACCTTACGAATACCCAACCGCAGGCCTGAAATAAGAAGCGTAGGTAGCTGGCTGGCTGCAAGGGCTGGCAGGACTGCTTTACCCTTGGCAACAGCTCCGTAGAATCCCTTTCGTCGCTACAGACTCTGGAGTGGTGCGCCCTGAAAAAAACACACGCACACACACTGGGTTTCATTGGCAAGGCCTGTGACATTGAATAGAAAAAACTCTGTCGTGGCTCGTCGAGGCTGGGCAAAGGGTTGGCGAAAAGTTCCAGGTTCTGGCAAGTCATTGTCTCCTCAGCACACAAATGATGCACCTGCTGAAGGTTCCCAAATGTGTATTTTGTGATTTCAAACTTGCTTCAACCGCTCCACACTGATTTTGGCCCAGTTTCTCCAGACCCGATCGCTACAGGATCATCGATTGCTTTGATAGATCCAGCCGCTGACATAAGGTCCCAATTGCCACGGTGTTCAGAAACACACCTGAGCTTTGCTTATGGTTTCCAGCCCTCTTCCAAATGTGGGCTCGGTGAAAGTACCACGCAACAAACTCTGACCATAGTAACACACAAGGTGGTTGACGAGACAGTATCGCAGGCGTGGAGAAGTATAAGTATCGCAGGTGTGGAAACCAAACGGCCAACATGTTGACGCACCCCCCCCCCCACACACACACACACACACACACATAGATAAGGTTTCGTCCAATATCAGAATCCGCTGTGAAAGGAATGAGGGAACGGCACGGCGATTGAGTCCGCAAAGTTGAAAGTTTTTCAACACTTGTTGGAAATCTCGGAAATTTGTTACTGAGTACTTAGCAGTTCTGAATCAATGGCATGCAAAAGTAGGTGAGTAGCAAGAAAAGGAAAGAGAAGCCTCCTGTTTGTTGCTAGGGGCGAGATGAGCGAATCACCCCATGAGAGTAGAATAGAGGAGTAACAGAAGGAAAGGAACCGACGTACACAGTACGCCGAGAACCATTTCCTTCTGTTATCCAAAAGGTCCAGGTAGTCGTGCAGGTACACAGTGGAGCGTCCCCCACTGCATCAGCACCGGCTGATACCCTCTTCGTTGGATGGGTAGTATCAGCAGTGGCCCGTCCCCTGCTTTTTTGAAAGTAAAAAGGAGAACTCCTAGAAACAAAGGGGGGCACACAAATATACACACACACACAAAAACACACACACACATGCGGGCGGATACATGCGGCAAAAATAGCGTTCATAAATTGATGGAATCTTGGTCAAACTGCTGCCAAGTTTGGGTGGATGGTGAGCTGTCTTGCTGTCTTGCTAGCTTTCGCCTTTCTTGCTGGCTTGTTTGCTTGCAGCCCGTGAGACTGTGTTGAAGGCCAGCCACCTCACATGACCCAAATAGAATGGAGGCCAGATGGACAAACACCTCAGCCTAGCGGGAAATTTAGTCCTTGTCCTGTGTTGCGCTTAGCTCCAGCATGGCCATAGTCTCAGCGCATTGTAGCTCGGTGAGGCCATTCAGAAGCCTGAATATGCTATTGCCAGCTTCTTGAGTACCGCGGGATGCTGCTTCTTACCACCAGCTTGATATGTCCGACGCTCGCTCTGCGCTGCTGCCAACTCCGTTTCTTTGTGCTAGCTATGGCCCAGCAAATTACCGTGACCGCAAGCCTGAGTTTTTGCTTCGCTTAAACGCCCATCTCACTTTTGGAGAAAGTCTCGCACAAGAGCATCCTAGAAGAGTGTCTTACAAGAGTGTCACACAAACACAGGAGCGTAGCACCAGAGTGTACCCCCTCGTTGGCCCTACGTCTAGGAATTGTTAGCACAATTGTGTCAGCCATACTCTGTGCTAAGTGTCACTGTGAGACCAGATTGTTCATTTAGCTGGGATCAATGTCCTCCAAGTGCTCAAATCAGCACATCTCATCCTAATGCACAGCTTTGGGGATTGGGCGATGTTGACATGTGAGATTGCAAGCTGTCAAAAGACAGCAGGAAAAGCATTTGCGCGTTTTCGCAAGCTCTATCAAGTTACAGTACAGCCAGTTCTCGTTCGCAACTGAAGGAAGATTCTTTCGGCAGTTCAATACATTAATTAACACGTATTTATATATAATATACTTATGCCGCAGCCAACTTAACATCTGCAAGCATGCGCAAACTATACTGCCAACGAGTAGAACTATTCATATAAACCGATAAACCGGGGCTATCGCTGGCAACACTTACAGCACCCCGTGGCCTGGACAGCTGTTTCCTGGATGAAGCCGGCGCCGCACCTTTCATAATCAACGGGCTGAAGGGATGAATGGCAGCCAATCTTGCGTTGTCCAGCCGCCTGAGTATCAAGTTTAGCAAAACCATATACATTTGCTGAACTCAGATCTTACGACATTGTGCAACTGGCTGAGATGCAACTGTGCAATGCCGGGTTCTTCAAAAAAACGGCCATCTATCAATCGTTGATAATCTTTGAATCATTCTTGCCTCCTTCTCCACGCCCCCCGAACCCCCAACTTCAAAGTTGTGTGACATCTCTTCATGCTGAAGCCTTCCAGAAAAGCCTCCATTTTGGTTTAAGTTGCGCATACTATATAACAGTTAACATTGATGGGGGTTCAAAGGGGTAGGTTTGCCAGACTGGGACATGTGATGGGATGGTTGCTTTTTTGAAGACCCGGTGTGTCAACACATTGTCATTGACAATTGTCATATCATTACATGCCGGAAAACGAATTGACGTTGCACCAGCTCTGCAAGAACCATCGGTTCATGATGCCACCTTCGCGTAGCCGGGCTCAATGCAACAAGTTCCAAGTTCCATGTTTATAAACGACTCGGAGAGCATGTTCTGAACACAATCAAGTAACACCTTAACAAAACATATGTTGACTTCTTGGGGCCTGGAAAGAGTTCCCGCCAAATGTCGCCAAAGAGGAAACTCGCGACCACGGCCTCCGTTTGGTATGCCAGTCTGCGGGTGTTGTTCTTAAAGTGGGTGCAACAGCAAACAATCGCTTGAAACCCCGGGATGGGGATGAACACACACATGACATATATGTCGGAGCAAGCGGGCTGTGGCACAAGAAAACACGGACCTGAAGCAGTGTGCGCCTGCTCTAGTCACTAGTCTTCAAGCCTATGAACGCGCACGGGCATGTCGCTTTTCCCTTCTTGTGTTGCTCCACTGAATCGATTCTTTTGTGGCTACTGCTGCAGGACTCTGCTTGCAGCCAAAGAATCACTTAAAATGTACGAAGCGATAAAAGAAAAACACATGACAACTTGGGTAGACACGCAAGAACTCATATGAGCCACTCTAAAAACCTGGAGTCACTCCCTGTGTCGTATCACGTTCCTTGCGCAAGGCCTTACGCGCTGCTTACGCGGCCCTCACTTTTGCTTACGCAGAGCAAACTTCCGAAATGCTTACGCAATCTTACGCAACTCAGGGTTTTGCTTACGCGGAATTCGATATGACAAGGTCCTTACTTAAGATGTAAAGGCAGGTTTTTAGAGCGGCTCATATGGGGCCAAGTTTTTCTTTTTTCAAGAGCTGGCCTTAATCGTGTTTGAAACGACCCACCTTGACGGCTGGATGTTTGTGAGCAGCTGCACGAACTGCCGCTCCAGCGTCGTAGGAAACACCAAATAGAGCCACCTCACACGGAAATTGTGTCGGAGGAGCAGTTTCGGGCAGTTTCGTCAAACGAAAGAGTTTGAGGGAGGACTAGTCAAGTCTCAAAACTCCATACCCCCAAAGGCAAACTAGTGTGATTTTGATTGAGGTTTGCGCGGATTTGTGCACGGAGCTTCGAGAACATTCATACCACGTTAGCGTTTGAGGTGGCAAGCCGCACCAACCCAAGTAACTACCGGAATCCATGCAAACTTCAACATCATTGGCTCAAGGCTGGAAATCCGCCGGTCAGTGCAAGGTGTCCACCCACCACTTGGCTTGAATTGGTTTGAGCCGGTGGGAATCAGTGCGAATCAGTGAACGGTGAACGTACCAACGCGCGATGTTGCAATCTAGGAATGTTCACCCGCTGTGCCTGTGCTGCTAAACTCCCCACATCTTTCTTGTTTCGCTTGTCTCTTTCCCTGTAGTGTAGCTACGGTCAGGTCTAGTGTGGCGGTTTGTGATGTGGTGACATGTGTCGAGAGGTACTGGCTAGCAATGTGATTTGTCAAAATGTCCTGTGGCAGCACGGGTGGTCCCGGGAACGAGTGCACAAAGGTTAAAGAGGAAAAGGGCAAAGGGATGCAAAGGGGGAAGAGGGATGCAAAGGGGGAAGTCCCACTCCGGAGAAGCTTTGCGAACTCCTTCATGCTTGTGGAGCTGCACAAGCTGAAGTCGAGCGGGAACCAACACCCTGTTCTGTCAATCCTGGACATACCAGGCCGCATCATCGTTGCAAGCAGACAGATCCGATTGCCTGATAGACGCACTAGCTCAACTCCTGACTGACGAAAAGCTTCAATGGCTTCCAACAACCCGACTTTCCAGGAGATCTCTTGAATCCAGATCTTTCACCACTATACCTTGAGGGCTCAAAAGGTTTTGAATTCCAGCTGCGGTGCAGGTGCTGGTGCTGGGTGCTGGCGCGGGTACTGGTGCTGGATCGGCGTTTGCTTGGGGTATGCTGGTGCACGCGCTGAGTCGGCGTTTTCTTGGGGCAAGCTGGTGCGGGTGTGTTGTCGCTGTTGCTGCTCTTGCTGCTGCTGCTGCTGCTGCTGGATCGGCGTTTTGTGTGGGCGTGCTGGTGCAGGTGCTGGTGCTGGTCCCTCGCATGGCATGATGTCATCCCTTGGCATGACATGATGTCAACCCTGGCTTGACACCATGTCACCACAAGGCAATACATGCACAATGTGTCAGGCACCATAGGAGTGGATATCGTCTCTGCCCTGACAGATGTCATTCCTGGCATGACATGACGTCATCCCTGGCAAGGTGAACAATGCCCTTGGCACCGCTCATTGACAACGAAAGCTATTAGACATTGGGTTTATTTGCCTCAGGCACTACGAGCCTTTTCCCTATGCACTGCAATTTCGTTGAAAATCTCTATATACTTTTCGATTGCCTACTTTTCGATCCATTCCTCTTCCTTGTGATACTTTTCGCTACACATTTCCGCCACCTCCCGAGCATCTGAACACAGCACGCCATGCAGGACGAGCCTGCAGCTGTCCCGAAACTCCAGCTGTCCCGAAACTGTCCAGAATCTGTCTTTAACAAACTACCGTTGTGCCGCTGACGCACACGCCCACGATCACGCCATCACGACCATGTGTGGATGTGTGATGTGGGTGGTCCGGTGCAGGATAGCTCCACGATTTCTGACATGGTGAATGGTGTTGGTGCAGTATGTGGTGAATGTAGCACGGCGAGATGTGGAAACTTAAGCCACAGGGGCCACAGGTGAAGTGGTAGGGTCTTTTCGCAGGTGAAGTTGCACATTCATACCTTTTGTTGTGTGTGGAACCGTCGTGCTGCTGAATGAGGCTCATGCCGGCTTGCCAGATCTATGCATCCGCAAACGCATCTCGACATCTGCCCGCATTCTAAATCCTGCTTCCTTTCTTGTATTCAACTCTCTCCAAAACAGATTCACTGAAAGCTCGGCATGTGTCCTTCAATTGACCACCACAAATCCCGTCTAATTCTGTCAGGCCTGGCCATCACTCCACGGCTGTCTCCCAGCGGGTTGGTTGACACCGACGATGAAATCAATCAATTCCTTGCCAGAAGCTCTACCTCCGAAACCAAAGCTACCCGAAGCCACCACTGGCATGGACCACTGGAGTAATGCATTGCCAAGGAACCAATGTGTCTTGCGTTTCCCGTGGGCTCCAAACTACAGACTGCACACCACCTGAAGCACCTGCCCAAATGGATCCAAATTGACAAATGCTTCCTCAAAGGATTGACAAACGTGTTCTGAGCATCTGACCTGCGCCACGCACATCTGCCGAAACAACAGCAAAGCCGGACTCGAGGAGAGCGCTCTTCCACGGCCCGAGCCTAACTGTGACTTTGGATTGGCCTATACAGATCTATATGGCCTATACATATACGATCAATTACGATCATATGCAATATGCCGTGCCGTCCAATGCAGAATCACCTGATTTGAGGAAAACGGGCCCTCCATACATGCCAAGCAGCAAAAAATCCCATGGCTCCCCACGGTTCAACAACTCTCGAATTGGCCACCGCATTTCCCAGGCGCGCCAATAACGCGCCATGTGGACCACGCACGGAACTGGGTGAAAGGTGCCATCAGCGCCTGATACGTCTGACTCATCCGGCCCAAACAAAGCACCCAAACCCTAAAGTCCTCAAACCTTCGATTGTGAAGGGCCCTCAAACAGCAAAGCGCAAAGCCCCTCAGAAAATCACAAACACACACATTTTTGGAGTCTGCCTTGCGCACAAGGAGGCAGAAGGACATCCACCGCAATCCTTGCAACAAAAGTCAGCTTCCACGTCATTAGCCGAGCCATTTGTTTGACATCTTGCAGCCAGTTTATGGTGAACTGCTGAGCTGTCCTGACACCATCAGACATTTTTACATAGCCGGCGAGCCGTTTAGTTCCTTCAGGGAACTGCTGCGCACCTGATCGCTTCTCGGATCAGCCAGCCACAAAAAGAAAACAAAAGAAAAACAACAAACTCCCTTGTCATTGAACTGCACGCTCCTCGCCTCCACCACCTGGCTTCTCACTGAAAGGCCAAATGCCATCACAATCCTAAGCACCCACAGAAATGAGGTAAACAAGTCTAAAGTGCAATGCCTTTGTAGGTGGCTAGGCTTGGCTGCCATGCCTGTGCCATATCTGGATCCAACACTGGATCTTTGGAACATATTTTTTTCCCAGCTTGATAAAGGCCTCAGTTTTTGAACAAAGGGTCTTCACAATGCTTGAACACTCAAACGAACTGTCTCAGCAACAAACCACGCACGCAACGCACTCCCAGAATGGCAGGCAGGAGTGCCAAGCCAACTACACCTGGTCATATGCCATCTCAACCAGGCTTGCCAAATCAATAAGTGCATGAGTCAGGTGCCTCCACATGCAAGGGCAGCTAAAGCTACAACATCTCCTGTCCAAGTGCAAGTACATTACACCGGGAGGTTCCGCTGGATTTCAATGCGCGATGGGTGGGAAGCTGTGGGACATGGATGTTAGGCTGTTTGGTGTGAAAATGTGGTCGGCATCAATATCGTTGTCAATATTAGTATTTATATAATCATTCTGTATCTGGCTGTCCTTAGTGTTTGGTGTCTGCACCAGGCCTTATCGTGTCGACAGCGCGCTCTTGTTGTCTGGAGTTCTCAAGTTGGTGCGGCCGTGCGGCTAAACGACGCCCCCTCAAGAAGAACTGTGTTGCGCTCAGTTATCATTGTAAGGCCTTTGGAACTTGCCACTTTTCATGCCAGCTTGTAATCTTGCAGTTGGCGGGAAAACAAAGCCAATGCTTGAATTTGTTGCCTTTTTCCCCAATAGCCATGCTATGGGGTCTTGCAAAACTAATAGGCGGACGGGCGCCGTCGGGTCACCGTCAGAGCTGGTGGGCGGATGGTGTCCCGGTCATGTTTTGATGGCGTCCGGGTCATGTGATGCTGGTGTCCCGGTCATGTTTTGATGGTGTCCCGGTCATGTTGTGATGGTGTCCCGGTCATGTTTTGAAGGTGTCCCGGTCATGTTGTGATGGTGTCCCGGTCATGTTGTGATGGTGTCCCGGGCATGTTTTGATGGTGTCCCGGTCGTGTTGTGACGGTGTCCCGGTCATGTTTTGATGGTGTCCCGATCATGTGATGGTGGCGCGGTCATGTTGTGATGGTGTCCCGATCATGTTTTGATTGTGTCCCAGTCATGTTGTGATGGTGTCCCAGTCCTGTTTTGATGGTGTCCCGGTCATGTTTTGACGGTGTCGGTTATGTTGTGATGGTGTCCCAATCATGTTGCGACGGTGTCTCGGTCATGTTTTGATGGTGCCCTGGTCATTTTGTGATGGTGTCCCGGTTATGTGATGATGGCGTCCAAGGAAGAGATGGTCGATGTGTTGAAAACAGCAGCTGTTTCCAGATTTTTCTTTTTGTCCCGGTTTGTATCTTGCTATTGGGGTCTCCAGCTGGGCTAATTACTTTGTAGCTATCCCGCGCGGCATCCCGTCTCAAGGTTTTCAAACCTGATCAAAGGTGATATGTTTTCTGTTGAGTTGTTTTCCAAATGTTTGACTCAAAACGGTCGCAATGTTCTCTCTTTGGATTGAGTTTGGGCTGATCATGAACAGGTTGTACAATCACAATAGCAAGCCTGCAGGCGAAAACTGGAGTTGGCATGCGAATGGAATGAGTCAAGGGGGTGTGAGGTCGATTGAGGCCGGCCAACGGTGGGCCGCAGTCGTTTTAGACTCTTAGACTGGAAAAAGGGATCGAACTGATGCAGGATATGCCGTTGCATACACTATTCAACAGTCAAGGAGAGTAAGAGTTGCCGCAGGTTGGTTTGGACAATTTATATATATAATTGGTTTGACCCGTCTCTGTCTCTCTCTCTCTCTCTCTCTTATATTTTTTTCGCTCGGTTCTGTTGCCGGATGCTGGCGATACCCCCCAGGCTGCCCACCATATTTGGCACGCCGGGGTGCCAAAAACACATATACTAAATATATCTTCAAACTCCAACTTCCTCTGGGCGTGCGGTAGGCTGCAGGCTACCGCCAGCCAGGCTCCACGCCCTGCTCCAGCAAGGAGTTCTTGTGGCACCGTGCGTGGGACAAGTGTGGCTTAACCTTTGAAATCAAGGCCTGGCTCAAAGGGGTCAAAACGGCAGGGCTCTTGTTGCAACTCAAGCGCAGCATCCTTGCTGCAGCGCCGACTGAGCTTCAACCAGCAGCGGCCACATTTGACATGGCTATGAGCCAATTTCCGCTCACGACTCTCTGGAGCATCCTTTTATGCGCTTTTGGCACAGGCTGCACATGACTCCATTCTGTCTCCAAAGTTGCCCGAAGACATCAACTCGACCCTTACAGCTTGGTGCATGAAGTGGGTCTTATCCTCCAGCAGCATCCTCACCCTTGCAGCCGCCCTGGCATAGATACCACGGCCCTCAGTGGGACTCTGTGGCGACACACACTTAGAACGTTGCTCGCAAGAGCTGGATCAGTTGATGAAGTTCCACTCTAGCGATTACATTACCGGTGCAGTAGACCTTGACTTGCATAACAGTAAGGCGATGGAGCCCGCTGCAACTGCATGGTTTAACAAGGGTGAAACAGGAGAGGTAAAATGCAGGTACGTTCTCAAGGCGTCCCTCGGGAATATCACAACAGGATCCTTAGAAACAGGTTTTGACACACACTTATGGATATGCATACGGAACTGATAGCGGTGCCACACGCCGGCCTAGGGTTCCAATTCCTAAGAGCACTGGTAAAACCTGATGGAGGCTGGGGGTCTTCAAGAGGAACGGAGGCCAAAAGCGTAAGCCGACGACGAAGCGACAGGATGACGACGGTCGTACTTGTCTGCCCAGTCAGGTTCTTGGCTTAGCCTCATGCCATTCAGAACGGAAGGAAAATGGCAGGTACGTCGGAGTGGCCAACTCCGATATCACCAGATCAAGTGGGTGTCTTCGTTGGTAGCGGTCCCAAGTGATCTGCCGCTACCCCCTGCTGGAAAACAAATGCCGAAAAACGAAGAGAGAACAATCCATCTGGATCCCTGTGACTACAAGGGTTACACACACACGCCTTTGGAGGGGAGGCGTAAAGCTAAGGTAAGGGCCAATGTGCACGTGTGCGCGCACAAGACAAAAGAATGAAGACATGACAGGAGGACAAGACGGGACAAAGGTGCGTGTGGTTGAAATGAAAGGGGAACCAAGTGCACAGGGACACCCGATGAAGCCCACCTCATTGTAAAGACCTGGGCGACCTGAAGCCTGTGTTTACAGGTATGTAAAGTGCACGTACACACTAAGGCCGGGACCAATGTGCACGCAAACGAAGAAAAGGATGAGATGACCAGACATGAAGACAGGAGGACATGAAGGAAAAGAGGAAACAAAAGTATGTGAAGGGGAAGGGGTGAAAGGGAACCAAATGGAGGGGACGAGAACCGATGAAACCAAACCTCATATATAGAAACACCTAGGGACATGCCTCGTTTGAGTGTGAGCGCTGTGTGTGCACCTGAGGTTGGGACAGGTTCCAATGAACCTTGAACAAACTTCGGTCGCTGCGACCACGGCTTGCCCGAGGGCTGCCACCTTTGACCGCTGCGGTCACGTAAAGGCATGAGCCAATTTGGAATTCCAAAGATGGGGCAAAAATCATAGTTCTTTCGGCCTAGGCCACCTAACGCTCGCTGCGAGCTGCTCTGTATCCGGGCAATGGATACGTTCGACAAACCCCCGTTCGACGGGTCCACGGGAGGCACTCTGCGGGCTCATCCCGGGTTGGCACGAGGCCAAACACACTTATGGATATGCATACGGAACTGATAGCGGTGCCACACGCCGGCCTAGGGTTCCAATTCCTAAGAGCACTGGTAAAACCTGATGGAGGCTGGGGGTCTTCAAGAGGAACGGAGGCCAAAAGCGTAAGCCGACGACGAAGCGACAGGATGACGACGGTCGTACTTGTCTGCCGAGTGAGGTTCTTGGCTTAGCCTCATGCCATTCAGAACGGAAGGAAAATGGCAGGTACGTCAGAGTGGCCAACCCTGATTTCACCAGATCAAATGGGCGTCTTCGTTGGTAGCGGTCCCAAGTGATCTGCCGCTACCCCCTGCTGGAAAACAAATGCCGAAAAACGAAGAGAGAACATCTGGATTTGTGTGACTACAAGGGTTACACACACACACCAAAAAAAACACGCGACACACCTCGAACACAAACCTCTCCCAATCGGGCCCATGTCAACATGCAGTTCATGTCCTTGCAATCAAGACTGTCTGAACTCTTGTCATTTAGTCAGCATACACTGCGTCTTGCCCCTTTCTTCCCACCACAAACTCCCCAGCGAAAGACCAGTGCTCTCCTGGGGAGGATATTCGGCTTGCCTTGTTGGTTGGATGCACTCCTTCTGGTGCTTCATCTCAAAGATTGCGCCGCGCACGCACATGTGCAACCAAGAAATGCAACATCAAACTTACTCACCAAATCCGCACCTGACCCGGCAATCAAAGATGGACCCCTCGCACGAGACATCCCAGCGGCACGGAAAAACTGGGACTTCAAAGGTCCTCACCACACCACTGTTTCTACAGTGACAATGCACATGGACATGGGCCAGTTATCTGTTTATCATGATTGAATAACAATACGGGGTTCGCTGTGGTGGATTTAAGAACCCAAACTCCACTTGGGAAAAGTGCAGCAGGCCTTTGCAAAAACATGCTCTGTCTGTTGTTCAATCTGCCTGTAAGCTATTTAAAAAAGTTCTTGAGCCAGAGCCCAGGATTTAGCGACATCAGGAATGAGCGCTCCCAAAACCCAGCAATGACACAAGAAAAACATGAATCCAAACGTCAAGCCATTCTCGTGAACACCTTAAGCCCGTCGACCTAATATACCTGCTCACAGGCAAGCTTTGGCAATCACTCGTGGTGACACATTTTGTCAGGTAGTGTCAGTCACGCGATGCAACCGTGTTACTGTACCAAACTCTTGGTACACCTAAAGCCTGAATATGTGAATGACAAACAGGTGCAGTGCTGCATGTTGAGAAGGAATCAAGCAAATAGTATGAAACAAGTTTTTGAACTTGATGGAGAACCTACCCCAAGTTTCCGTAGCAATGAAGCAACGGGAAGCCTGCTGCCGTCATTCCATGTTTCGATGAAGCAAGCACTCCAGGAGAGCATCTGATGATTGTTTAGACTTTCTATCTAGGGTTCTTCGGCCTTTCCCTTCACAAAGGCAGTTTTGCCTTTTGCCTTGTTCGCCTTGGTTTGGCCTCGATTACGGGATTCTGCAGAAGGAAAGGCATGCCGGCCAGGCAGGCTTTCAACCTATAATTTGTGAGTACTCTCCCTGGAATTAACATGGAAGTGGGCAACCACCTCTTTGTAGTGGAAAATGGTCTTCCAAGGGGCCATTCTCCACTTCCATGTTAGTTCCAGGGAGTGTAATTGTTTGGGGCCTTGCTCCCATCAACCCATATTGCACGAAAGCAGCAAGGTGAGTTAATCTGAACAGCAGGTGTCCACAGAGGAAGTCTAGCAAACAATGACAGCAGTTCTAAAATGCAAGAACAGTGAAGAAGCACTAAGTTCATACTGCAAAATCCTTACAGTAATTGTGTGGACCCCAATGGGATTCTGTAGACGTGTAATGAAAGGCAACTGCAACGGCTACCCCGCGCACGGCAACGCAAATTTTGTACACCTGTGTCAACCCAACTCTAAGGCACTCCGACACCTGGGAACGTGCACAAGTGCCTCTTGTTGGAGCTGCACGCTGAAGGCTTGCAACCCGAAACAAACCCAAACAACAATCAAATGCAACGACATCGGGTTGACAGCCGACAGTTTGTTCGGCTTGCTCCCTTTGTGAGACTTCCTTTAGAATATCTCCACGAAGGTGCTGTGTGGACTGTCTGGTTTTGAGCGGCTCGGCAAATCCGGACCAAACCTGAATGGCCATACTGCTTCCAAACAATAAACATCAGTATACTTCGTTGACCGAGCTGCCGGTCACCGTGAACATGATGGCACATATATATATATAATTATATGTTGTTGGAGCGCGCGGCCTCAAAACCAGCCTGCAAAATCGATCGAATTGCTCATATGCAGTCTCCATTGGCATCCAAAGAGCCTGCAAAAGGCTTCAATTCTCTGTTGTCATGTTTTGACGATGGCAGAAAACACTCCCACCCACACCTCGCTGGCTGCCAGACTCGCTTCACATACTTCAGCCTGCTGGATCAATCTTCAATTTAATTTGGTCGGGCCAAGAAATCGGCTCCTCGTCTATGAAGTTGTTCCTATCAATTACTGTATTTTGTCAGTTCCTGTTGCTTAATTACAATGTGGCTCTATCCGATCTTCTATGGTCAATAGCCGTGAGTGCACTCATCCCAAGCGTCTGTCTATTCTCGGCTTTCATTCAGAATTTCTCTCTTGGATGCGGCGCTGCAAACCAAAGCAACTAAGAGTCATATAGGGGCATTCTAACAAGCATGGCAGGCAGAAGCGTTTAAAGGGAAGTCAAACAAAGCCAAATAGCTTCAAGTATGTTTTATATTGTTTTATATGCATATATCTGTGCGTGCGTACATCCGGCGCGTCCTTCCAGCGCCATGAGTTTTCCTACCAGCGTCGCCCGTAAGGAGCTCAATCATTGCACGCAACACCTCTACTGCCATTTTTGCACAGCCAGGATTAGATGCAAGCATGCCTCTGCCCCACACATTGACTAAAAGGATGCTGAAATCAAACTAGCTTTGCAGCTCGCACACGCTGCATCATTCAAAACACGTCATTGCCAAATTCCCACCCCGCCCCAATTTGCATTTTGTAAAAATGAGTTTCCGTCGTGTGGCTGCACGGTTTGCTTGGTGCATATCAGGTCCCCCCTGCAAGGGCCCCACCAAAAAGTTTAAAAGAGCCCTTATTCATCAAGCGTTGCACTTCAGCTTCCGAGAAGCTACTCAGCGAGACATGCTGCATAGTCACTGCATAGTTAGTGTCATTTAACAACACCTGCATACAGCGCCACATTGCACCACTTCCGTGACATGCTTGCGTCATCTTGCGCATGTCTCATGGACTGCGCCACTGGTTCCGCAAGCGTTGATGCAAAGACTGTGATGCAAATGAGTCGCAACACAACAATTCAAATCATTTTGTGTGCTTCTGAAGGCTCGTCCTCCAAGGCTTGCATTGCATGTTCACCCCACAAAGTAAAACAACAACGTACTAAAGATACTTCAAAGGACATATTGACTAAAGTGAGGCTTGAAGCAAATTAAACTTTGTACAAGTGTGTCTGCAAACCCTGCAAGAACATGTAAACACAGTGCTTCTCTCGTTTGCACCCTAGCCTTTTGCATCCGCAACAGCATCCTGACAACAAGCGCATGATTCCTTTGCATTCATTCGTTTGGTCAATGCATACGCACACACAACTCAACTGGCCTCGACTGGCATTTCACCATGCACTCCGAGAAGCTTCCCTTCTGCTTCTGGGGAGCTGTCGTCGCCCAAAGGCTGTGCCCTTGCCTGGATGACTGGTGCTGGGCGACTGCGCGATAAATATTTGAAACATTTTGAAACTGACACGAGGTCTGCAAGAGTTCTATTCTATTCTGGATTCTCAAACTCCATGAGGTCTGCAAGCACCTTCCGCGCACCCATAGTGCGAAGTCCAGCCTATCAAAAATCGGTTGGACGGTTGGACCAGCGATTCAATCAAAGCCCCCTATATATTCGCCTGTGATTTCTGGACCTTCTTGGTGACATCCCTCATGAGCATCTGTAGAGATCGTCCTTTCACCAAGTTTCTCATCCTTTAATTTGTCAAGTTTATCGGTTTTTTGTTTGCACACTGGCAGCCACCTCAAAACCCATGCGACACTTTCCAGGAGATATGGAAGAATTGCATAACATGTCCTTGTGCGCAGTCTATCGTACCTGCACCGCAAAATGGGCTCAAGGCAAGCCACGTGTTCAAGAAGCGGTGTGTCATTTCCAAAGGGAATGAAGTATAGTGGGCATCGACTTGAAAGGAATGGTTGCCAAATGACATGCTACTAAACCTTTCCTTTTCCCTCTGCACGCGATTCTTTACGGAAATCATGAGACGCGTGATTCATGGGGAGAGGATCTGAAACAATGGTTGTTTGTTGTCAACGAGGCCGGTGGTCTTAGATGGAAAGCCAATTCACAAGTGCGCAAACATCTTGGAATCCCAGGTCTACTGAAGATCGGCAGGTTGCTAACGCGTCGGTGACTAGTGACTAGAATTTCTACATTGGCTTTTGTTCTGTTTAGGAACATGTTGCACGTGTCGTGGGTTCATGCAGGAATTCAAAATAATGGATCCCGAGCGTGCACTTTTTGTATCCATTCTGCATATTTCTGCATTATATAGATCTGACATTTTGCGGTTTGCCCAACACATGTTGCATTGTTTGCCCAATTGTCTGCAAACCCTGCAGGGTTGTACTGTATATAAACTCCAGCCACAGCTACGACTACAGTAGTGACAGGCCAACCAAACCAAATGACACAAACAACAAAACCAAAAAACACAAAAGCCAACAACAAGTCAATTGATTGACCTGGGCTGGATCACAGTTGTTTCTTGCTTGGTTTTCTTGCATTTGGGAGATTGTTTGGTGTGCCTTTTGTTTGTTTTCTTAGTGGCAATTCCCCTATTTGAATGAGTCATTCCTCCGGTTGGTTTGTCGCTTGTACTGCGGTAATTGGATCCAAAATTATAATCAGGATATAGATGTTCTTTATAAAGGTCATTAGTCTCTCTCTCTATCTCTTTCTAAGTCTCCCTCACTTACTCCAATCATAGGCGTTTTATTTTAGAAATGTAGAATTGTCTTTCCTTTAAGTATGTTTGCTGCTTTGTTCAGTTTTCGGGTTCGGGTTGATGTTCCTTTTTCCTTTTCTCCTTTGCCCGTTCATTTATCACCATATAAATTTCATCAAGTCAACGTGCTCATTTCTTCCAGTCGCCAAGTGTCTCAATCTCTCAGGGCCTTTAACACGTTTCAAATTATATAAAAAACAACAACTGTTTTCTGCATCATCATCACTGATGTCATTTTCAAAATATTCATTCTTGCCCTTTCCATCTCTAACAATGTGTTTTCCACAAACTGCAATTTCAGTTGTTTCTTTCCACACTTCCCACACAATTCACAAAGGTCTTTAACAAATACGACCAGTTCAGTCTTTTCCATTCATGTCAGGTTATAAGTTATAACGTCAGTCATTATCTGACATCCACAGTCAAATTTGGTGACTCTTACTCATATATATATATATATTATTTTTCTTTAAGTACTTTTTAGTCTTCTGTTGCACTTCCCGCATTAAGTCCATTAAATCTGTTCCTGTCCCATTCTATTATAGTGCTCAGTTTTGTATATGTATGATTTATGATATTTCTCCAAACAGGTTTACCTGTGAGGGGTTCTTACTCCTTTTAAAGAGGTGCATGCTCGGGCCGGATGATTTTGAGTTTGTCTCCGGGCTTGTG